CATCCTCCCGCTGGTGATTCCTCCTCGTCAAACAGTGCTGACCCTGGTCCCCTCGGGAACATCTGCGCTGCGCCCGTGCCCGGCCGCCGGCACATCCCGAGCCTCCGGGCGCTGTTTACGGCGGGGACGGCAGAGCCCTGTTCCTGCCTAAGCCGGGGCTTTATTAATTGCCCGTTCTCCCTATTCCTCCGTGACAAAAGATTAATCACCCTGCCGAGGCCGCGCTGCCCGGGAGGCTCCTGCAGACGAGAGGCAGCTGTGGCAGAGCGGGGCTCCTGCACCGGCTGAGCCGACAGCCCCGTGCTGTGCCCCGGGAGGATGGGCTGCCCTGGCCGGGGTGCCTTCGGGAGCTCAGCAGGGTCTGGGCAGGTTGCACACCTAGGGATACCCAGGAACCCACCTGGGAAGCAGCTGTGGGATGTAGGGGAGACAGTGGGGCTGGTCCTGACCCTGTCCGTGTGTCTGTCCTGATCTATTTTGCCACTGTGTGCCCTTGCATTAAATGCCCTGAGTGCTGTGCCTGGCCCAAAATGTGGCTCCAGAACACCCTGCAGACACTGCTCTTCATCCTCCAGTCACCAGGGTTTCCTTGGGGGTCGCAGCCCTGCCAGCCTCAGTCCAGTGTCCCCATTTCTGGCACCTGGCTGGAGATGCTGGTGGCAGCAGATCCGCCCCTGGCCTGGGAAGGGAGGCAGGTAGGGAGCTCTGGGCACTGCTGGGCAGCACGGGGGCTCTGGAGGAGTCTCTGCCCACGGCATGTTGGGCACAAGAGTTTGTGCCCAGGCCCAGCAAATATGTTGCACCTCCAGCTCCTCACGAGCTGCTTCATCAATGTGTAAACAGCTCTTGGACTCTACACGAAACAAATTCCCTTCTGTCTTTCAGAGTGGGGTGAAAACCATCAGAATCAACCCTTCAGCTGGATTCCCTCGTCTGTGCAGCACTCAGGAGCTGCTCACCCCATGGGAGGGCAGCACAGGGGACAGAGCCTGTGATGGGGAGCTCTGCAGGCCCCTGCCCGACCTGGGACCTGCCACCCTGCATCCAGCACCAGCTTCAGTTTCCAAAGCATCACCCCCCCAGCGTGGCTCTCTCAGCTGCCTGACCCACCATGTGGGGTACAGAGCTGGCCCCTTGTCACCCCTCACAGCCACTCCTGTCAGCCAGAGCTGAGAGCAGACTCGAGGCACGTGGGATCAGTGGCCCAGTGGAGCTGAAATCATGCAGCCATGGGGGAACGTTTTCAGCTGGACACCCGCTGATTCCCAATTAGACGAGCCGTGTTTGATTTGTGTTGCAGTTACACCTACAAACACTGCTGCAGCCACACACACTGATTTTACAGAACCCTTCCTGGCCCTGAGCAGGTACAGACACATCCCCTGAGCAGGGATGAGCTGCAGGTCCCACATGGAGCAACTCAACACACCCCAGCAGGACGCACAAACTGGAGGCAGAAGACTGAGACCAGCACGGGGCGTTTCAACCTCCAAGCCCAGCCCTGTGTGTGCTGCTTTCACTGTCCTCATCCCAAAAGAGACCATTGCCCCCCAGCCTGGTTTTCCCAGACCCTTTAAGCTGCTATTCTGGCTGCTGGGGTGGTTGCTGTGCCGGGGCCGTGGTGTGAGTGCGGCGCCGGGCCGGCGCCCAGGGGTTATCAGCGGCGGTGGCCGAGGCTGAATTAGCAGGGCAGGGAAGTGGGGTAAGCAGGGCTCAGCTTCTTGGCATGTTTGCTTGTGCTAAACCTGCAGCAGGAGAACTTTTCACAACAACACTCAGCGCTTGAAGACTCGCTTGGCTGCGTGCAAGAGACGGGGCTGGGTTGTGCAAACAAACCGTGGCCGCGGGATGGCCCGGAGCTGGTGCTCGGGGTGGATGCACAGCAAAGCAGAAGTGCTTTTCCTGGCAGAACTGCAGGTCACAGCATCTGGAAGGGGCAGCCACGTTTCCCAGGGGATGCTCCTGGTGGGATCGCCCCGTCCCTGCTCTCAGTGCTGCCTGACAAAACCTCACCAGCACTCGGCATCCCCAACGCTCCACTGCGTCTCCCTGGCTGGTTTCTCTCCCCAGCAGCACAGTTTGTTGTCCTGCAGTGGCTCCATAAGGTGTTCTGGAGCAACAGGGTGCACCAGGACTGCTGGTTGACCCTGCATGAGCTCCAGTCCTGGGAGGGGAGGACACACAGCTGCCCCCAGCATCCGGGAGCTGGGATCAAGTAAGCCCATTCCTGTGTTGCCAATTAATTTAGCAACCCAAAGCTCCTGCCCTCCCTACCGTGAGCACCGTGGTGGCCCTGCAGCCATGTCCCCAGTAGGAAGGCACTACTCTTGGGTTTTGTGCCATGTTTGGAGGAAGTTGTGGCTCTGAATGGGAGGGTGGGAGCTGGCACGTGGAGCCAGAGCCTCACAGGACTCATGGTGTGTGACCAGCTGGGTGCTGGAGGCTTCCTCCAGGGCTGAGCTCCTGCTGGGATAGAGCTGGGAATACTGGGAACAGCTGGTGTGTCGTGACAGAGCAGTAAAACCAAGGCTGTCCCAGTCAGATGGGCTGTCCTGTGCTGAGGGTGCCCTGCCATGGGGGTACCTTATGATGGGGGTTCTCTACAACAGGGATGCCCTGAGATGGAGTTGTCCTGCAACAGGGATGCCCTGCGATGGGACGCCCTATGGTGAGGGTTTCCCTACGATGTGGGTGCCCTCCGTCGGGACAGGCGCTGCCCGTTTCCCCTCGCGGGTCGGGCCCTGCCTGTCCCCAGCGCGGTCTCGGCACGAAGCGGCCGCCGGGTGGGTCTGGGCGGGGGGAGCGGGCGGGGAGCGGCCCCGGCCCGACCCGTTCCCGGGCGCAGATCGCCCTCCAGCGGCCACGGACCGGGAGAGGATGAGCCCTGCACAAGCCCTGGCCAGGGCTGCCCTGAGCATCCCTGCCCTGCCCTGAGCATCTCTGCCCGGCCCTGGGCTCCCCTGCCCGGCCCTGGGCTCCCCTGCCCGGCCCTGAGCATCCCTGCCCGGCCCTGAGCATCCCTACCCTGCCCTGAGCATCTCTGCCCGGCCCTGGGCTCCCCTGCCCGGCCCTGGTCTCCCCTGCCCGGCCCTGAGCATCCCTGCCCGGCCCTGAGCATCTCTGCCCGGCCCTGAGCATCCCTACCCGGCCCTGAGCATCTCTGCCCGGCCCCGAGCATCCCTGCCTGGCCCTAGGCTCCCCTGCCCAGCCCTGAGCATCCCTACCCGGCCCTGAGCATCTCTGCCCGGCCCCGAGCATCCCTGCCTGGCCCTAGGCTCCCCTGCCCAGCCCTGAGCTCCCCTGCCGTGTCCGGGCTGCACAGAGCACCCCTGCTCGGCCCTGAGCATCCTTGCCTGGCCCTGGGTTCCCCTGCCTGGCCCTGAGTTTCCCTGCCCTGTCCATGCTGTACAGAGCATCTCTGCCCAGCCATGAGCATCCCTGCCCAGCCATGAGCATCCCTGCCCGGCCCTGGGTTCCCCTGTCCATCCCTGAGCATCCCTGACCAGTCCTGAGCTGCCCTACCCAGCCCCAGGAGCACTGAAAGCAGGGTGGGAGTCAGGGGCTGCAGGGATGGCTCAGGACGTGGCACCCAAGCCACAGCCCCACACCCAGCAGTGCCTGCGGCCGGCCTGCAGAGGGTGGCAAACCCCCGGGCCCCCTCCTTGTGCTACACAGACCTCCGGGTCCCCTCCTTACCCCATAAAAACCTCAAGACCCCTCCTCACCCCACACAAGCCCGGGACTCCTCTCCTCACCCACACACACAGGAACCGAGCTGGCACGGATGCGTTTTGGGGGATGAAGGGATGTCTTCTGTCCAAGGAACTGATGCCCTGTCTCCTGTGCAGAACCCAGCTGTGAGCAGGGACCAGGACCAGGACCAGGACCAGGTTCAGCTCATCCCACTGGAAACAGGCTTTATGCTCACCTCAGCTGGGCTGGGACTAACACCGTGCTCACTGTGGGTCAGAGGCACGAGGAACCAGCCCGGTGGTGTTTACCCAAGGCATTCCAGGCTTGGGCAAGGACCTGCCACCGCTGGTGCTATAAAAAGCCATCAGGGCTGTGGCTGAGCCACACCAGCTCCCAGTTCCTGCCCGGGCAGGGCTCCTCACCTCCGGCTGCTTACGGGTAGGAAGCAACGCTTGTTCGGTGGCTCTCGGCTGGTGCCACCACTGGCACAGCACTCTGGGGCGTCATCATGCCTGGAGAGGTGAACAAAGAGCTTCTTCCCAGGCTGCTGCAAAACCTGTTCAGCTGAACTGATGCAAAGATAAGAAAACCAGGTCACTACCGAGGTGCACATTAGGGAGGCACAGGAGCCGTGGGCTCTTCCCTGTGGGTGGGAGGGGAGGCACCTGCAGCAGCTCTCCAGGGCAGAGAGGAGATGGTTCTCTGCATGGACACGCTGCATCCTGGGCAAAGGGGGTTTTTCCACAGCCAAGGCCTGTTCTGAGCTGGGTCACTCCCTGTGCCAGGACTGAGCCACACTGCTCCATGGCAATCTCCATGAGAAACTCTGCATCCTGCCTGAACAAATCAGCAGGGGACTGGCACATCCACTTCCTGCACATCCACTTCTTCCCCAGGTGTTTATTCATATAATACCCCAAAAGCGTTATCCATCCAACATCACAACACTGTGGCAAAGAGGTACTCTAGGAAAACTGGTTTTACTTAAAAATACCTAAAAGGCAGAGTTGTGTGGAGCACCCAGAGCGTGTTGTGCCACCTGAAGCACACGGTGCCCCAGGGAACCTCCCAAATTACAGCACCAGCAGCTGCAGGTGGGGGGTGATGGAGGAGCCACACAGCCCAGGCAGCAGCAACAACTGCTCAGGACTTGCTCTACTCCCCAGAAATTTGCTTCTTTCTGATATTTCAGAGCCTCCATTAAAGCTCCAGGTCCCTGTCTGAGCACAGACACCCCGTTCTCACCACCAGGACTGTTTCCTGCTGGGCGGTCCCAACTCCAAACATCTCCTTAAGCAATTTGCACATCTTAAAAATAAAATCCTTTATTGATAATATGAATGTTTAACATGTTTAATGCCATCAGCTATAAAAATGATTAAAGACTTCAGCTTGGTACATTTGGCTTTACAAATTTACAAGTGTTAATGAATTAATACTAGTGTTATACATTTTGCACTTCATTATACTCCATTAGCCAGTGACAAACTCTGCAACAATGTCTGCTTAGGACTGATGTGAGTTAGAGAAGAAATATTTAGTTGCTTCCACACAGAATCTACATCAACAGTTAAATACTAACTCTAAATGTCTTACTGAATTAGTTGGATCCATTTTAATCCCTTGTGCTTAGTCTCTCTCAGAAGTTAGGCTACTAGCAAAAATACATTCTTTTGCATACCCCCTTCCCATATTATATTTCAGAAGAAACAGTACTCAGTGCATTTCCTATTAGACTTCATCATAGTATCTCTCTCTCTAGAGCTATCAATAAAGGGGATAATACCAGTTAGATTAATGTAAAAGCAAAGAAACTCGTTAAAGCAGTGTATACAAAAGCCTCACTTTTGAATTGGAAGGGATACATGGGCCAAAATCCACCTGCCCATCCATTTTTACAGTTTCTCTCAGCAAGAGGAAAAAAAAAATCTCCTGTGGATACTTAGTTAAAAAAGTAATAAATGTGCTTCCAAAAGAGTCACTGCCCATTTAGCTCTGGCTGCCTCTGTCCCTCTGCTGTTTGTGCACAGCCTGCTCCACTGGATTAGCAACAACAGCCTATAGGATCACAATTTAAAAGGCTGCTAAAAGGTCTGTCCAAACCTCTGTTCTAGTCCAAACACCTGCCACGGTGTGTGGGGTCACTCAGAGCAGCCCAGAGCTCTGCTGTCCCATGGGACGAGGCTCAAAGCCTGAAGGAACCTCCCTGCCATGGCCACAAGTGCCTCCTCCCAGGGCACAGGGATCCTCCCCCCAGCAAAGGTGTTTTATCTATGGAAATACTGAAAACTGGCAAAGGAGAAGGTGTCTCTGGCAGTGGGAAGCTGTGCTCTGTGTAAACACCACACTGCACCCAGGGAAGGGCTCTCAAAGCCGGACGATACCGGGCAGCAAGTCCAGGTTCTAAATTTAGGATCAGTTCCCATCCAACACCGGAGATCATTAACTCAGGGTTGTGCTCTCAGCCCCTGCCACTGATCTGTGGGGTTTCTCCTGTATTTCTCACCACAGTGACTCAGAAAACCACTGTGCTGTGCTGGCTGCTTTGCCTGCAGCAAATGTTTCTGCACAGGAACCAGCTGCTTTCTCCCCTCTCGGGCCCAAATGCTTTTTCACACTCGTGATTTGCCTCCAACTTAGACAATTCCTCACTAAATGGTTTTTTTAATTGCCACATCTTCTTCCTATTAGGCAGGAGATCAGGAGCATATAAAGATTTCCCTAATACACTGTGTGTTCAGTACATATGTGTGTGATATACCTACACATATATACATATTCATTTCCACAGCAGTGATGATTTGGTTCCATAATTGCAGCCAAGGAAAGCCAGCAAGATCCCAAAGCTCGTGGGTAAAATCCAGGTCAGTCAGACACAACTGACAGAGATGAGGAACAAAATTATTGCTTTTGTTTATAGTCGAAGATCCCATGTTACTGTTGCAAAAAAACTGTGTCATGTGGATTAGTGATTTTTTTTCAAGTAATAGTGAGATCTTTGTCAAGTAACAGAAAGATCCTTTTCTCAGAAGTTCTACACACAACAGTAGAATGCTTGAGGAGCTCGAAAATTCTGGGTGACACACCACAAACCAGAGTTTAGCCATTTAAAGCACACAGGCATCTCTGCAGAATGTGTGAGAGGAAAGCAAAAAGAACTATATGGACAAGAAATACTGTGAGAAAAAAAGTATCCAGGTTGTATTACAGCTACATTTTACCCCAAAAAAACTCATGTGCTTCCTCAAATTAGCTGGGAGCTGTGTCCTGAAGGGCACAGCATGGCTGGCTGTGTTGGTCTGGTGGTCACCTTACAGAATTTGTAGTGTATTTGCTAACTTCTTGTAGCAAATGGAAAGGATTCAAAAGAAAACCAGTGTTGGTTTCAACATTCAGGACTCAGAAGGATTTGTTTCTGCAGCTAGATGGTCCCCTCCTCACCTTTTCCCGAGAATCACATTCATATTGCAGGCTTAGTTCAGGCACTTTTATAAAATGTTCATCTGGAGTAAAAAGTCTGCAAAAAAATCTTTTTCTGCATAATTTAAAAGTAGCATTTCAGTCCCATTAGAGGTTGATAGGTCCCACCACACGATTATGGTTCTCTCTAATGATTTGACTGTTGCCATGAGACGTTTGGAGGCTACTGTATAGCTGTAGGTAAGGTTTCTTCATAAACAAAAATATTTTCCTACCTATTAAAAAAAAAAAAAAAGAAAAAAAAAATATACTAAATGCTTTATACAGACAGAATCTGCTACTATGGAAATAAATAACATGGAGTGGAAAAAACAGTGTCTTAGCTCCAGGGTGCTGAGCCGCGGAATGTCACATTCCCAGTTTCTGGAGACTAGCTGCTGGTTGGCAGGAGGATCTCCAGGTCTTTGCCATTCGACACGACAGCGTTGTTGGAGCAGCTGCTTGCCACGTCCATGGGGGCACCCAGGGGGGACGCCTGGGCAGGGCTTTTGGTGAGAGGAGCAGGAGCAGCAGGTGACTGAGCCAGGCCAGGCTTCTTGGGAGGGATGGGCGGAGGGTTCCCCCTCTCTGCTCTAGGAATGGTCGGTGACTTAATCCCAGGAGACAACGGGCTGAGCGGGCTGGACACCTTGACAGGGCTGGGGGAGTGCCCAGCCTCGGTTTTGGGGCTCCCAGCACTGGCCAGGGTTCGGTAGTCCGTGCCAAAGGGGGAGCTGTTGGGGGAGACGGGTTTGATGGGGCCCTGCTGGCTGGTGAACCTGGAGAGCACCTGAGTGACCGTGTTGCGGGCCAGCTGCTTGGCTGCTGAGTTGTCTGCCAGGGTGGGGGACAGGTCCCGGGAGGGGGGGCTCTGCAGCCCACTGGACTGATGGTCCTGCTCCGCCTGGGACTGGAACTTGTGCCTGGCTGCGTGGAAGCGCTGGTTGATGCCCACCTGGTAGGAGGACTGGTAGCCAGGGCTGCTGGCCGAGGCTCCCACCAAGCGTTTGGTCAGCACCGGTGAGGAGCAGGGAGAAGGTGTCAGGGAGGACCCAGCTGTGCTGCTGGGAGACAGGGAGACCCCCCCAGCAGGGTGCTGGGACATCAGGTGCACCGGTGACTCCGTTCTTACGGGAGAACTCCCGTTCTCCACCGCGCTTTCCGAGGCTGCACCAGCAGATCTCTCCCTCTGAACCTGGCTCTCTGCGGGGTGTGTCTGCAGGGGCTCCCCACCTGCCTGCCCATCCAGGTCACAATGCCCATTGGATTTTGCATAGGAGTGAACCGGTGCAGAGGGGCTGGGAAACATGCTGTGAACAGCTTTGCTTGTGCTGGCAGGGTTTGCCCTCTCTGCCTGCAGACACTCGGTCTGGCAAGACACAGACTTCACCGGGGGACTGTCGGTTGTGACACCTCTGGACATCACCGAGGGGCTTGGCTGCAAAGGCTCAGAGGGACTGTGCTCCTGCTGAGAAGCCTCCAGCTCTTTCAGGGCTTTCTTCAGACATTCCACCTCTTCTTTGAGTGCTTTTGTACGGTTTTCTTCTCTGTTCAGCTTGGCTTTCAGCTGTTCCCTTTCAATGTCAAACTCCGAGAGCTGCTTTTCGACCTGTGCTTCCATCTGCAAACCCCGCTTCCTCTTGGCTGCCAGCTCCTCTTCCAGCTTGCTCACCTTACTCTTCTCCTTTTCCAATTTCAAGCTCAGTTCTGCTGTCTTCTGCCCCTCCTCAGCTGCTTTGGCAGTGGCTTTCTTGCACTCCACTACAAGCATGGAAGACAGTTGCTTGTGGCGTGCCCTCTCCTCCTCCAGCTGGCTTGACAGCTTCTTCTGTTCTTTCTCAAACTTTTTCACTTGGGATTTTTCAAACTCCACCTGCAAATTAAGAACAAAAGAGATTCTAAGGGAAACTTAAAGCCTTGAAGGATAATGCCCCAAAAAGGAACGGGGTTCACTGTGTATCTTGGAGAAATCACGTGGTAAAAGATGGCAAAGGCTAAGAAAGAGGTTCTTGCCCCAGGAACCTGCAAGACAGTCTGGAATGACTCAGCTTGCACGTAGTAAGAATTATTACTTACTAGTAGTTTTATCATGTATGAAATTCAATTGACCTTTAGTGAGATATACACCCAGCCTGCCATGCACTGATGGAACAAGCGAGCCGGAGCAAAGCCTCCTTCCACCTCATTTACTACTTTGTCAGTTTGCCTTTTAAAGGCATTTAGGCTTTAAAATGCTGATGTGTTATGTGTGCTTAATAAAGGCAGCAGCGCTGGAGTAACTGAAAACAGTGGCTTAAATATTTATTAGCATCTCTGAATAACACCCCCAGGAGATCTCTCATGACTTATTCTGAATTTTGAGCACACAGAGCACCACCAATTGTAAGTTCAGCCCTGTTCTTGAGCACTCCTCAGATTTCAGGCTGAAGGAAGATCTGATTGCCTATTAATAGCTTTTAGCACTGCTCAGCCACCGAAACGCCCCGAGAAATTAAGGTTGTTTTTCACGGCAAAATGATAAAAGCCAGGAGTGCCTTAGAGAGGGAGGTTCCTGCTACTCTTTCAACACGTCCCTGAGGGGTTCAGCACCCAGGAGCTCGGGGTTCCTGTGGGCTGGGTAATCAGCAGCTCCCAAACTGTACCTGCTGGGTGAGCCGCTCCCGCTCCTTCTCCAGCATGTAGGTGACATCGTCCCCCTCGGCCGTGTCCTGGGCGTGCCGCTGCCTCTCCTCCTCCAGGTCCAGGATCACCTGCCAAACAAACACCAGGGGATGCCCAGCTGTGCTCACAGACAGTCACACACGTCCAAAGCCACAGGGAGAGATCTGTGCCCTCGCACAGGCTCGAATGACACACGGGAGCAACCGCTGCAGGCTCAGACATCCAAATTCAGCTCAAAGTCACATTTTTGGACAGGCTCAGTACTGTGTTGTTACCTGGTCTAACTGAGTCAGTCTGTGAAAGAAGTTACAAAAATGTCACGCTGCATCTATCTTCACATCTTCATTTTATCATTAAATACCTGAATTGCATGATTCTCCTCCACGCTGTGGAACAACCTTGAGAGGTTCCTGTTATGAGCATTCCCATCCCAGAATGGCTGGGGTTGGAAGGGCCCTCTGGAGATCACCTAGTCCAACCCTCTTGCCAAAGCAGGTTCACCTGCAGCAGGTTGCACAGATCACACCCAGGAGGGGTTTGGATATCTCCAGAGAAGGAGACTGCACAGCCTCTCTGGGCAGCCTGTTCCAGTGCACTGCCACCCTCAAAATACATCAGTTTTTCCTCATATTCAGATGGAACTCCCTGTATTTCAGTCTGTGCCTGTTGTGCCTTGAAACTCAGAATTTCCTGGCAGGACCATCAATACAAACCCCAGCAGGAGCTGAGGTGCTGCACCCAGGGGACACAGCAGTGACAGGACAGTCCTTGCTATGGTTCCAGCAGTAATTCCCACACAGGCTTCTCCCCAGTGCCTTACAGGGATTTGAGGACTCCAGTGCCAAGTTTATTTTAAAGAACATTAATTTGTTCCTCCACTTAAGAGCAAGATGAGCTCTTGAAATGAAACTGCTTCCCATAAGGACCCAGTTAAGGAGCTCCTTCAGCTTTAACGCTGAATTACATGAATAATTGAAATTCTATTAACTCAACAAAAAAAAAACCCCACTCAGAATACAAACTTTCCAAGAGGATCTGCTGTTTCTCATCACCAAAACTCTGAGCTCTCCCAACACATGCTCAACCTGAATTTAGCAGCTCCTCCTTAGCAGTTCTTCAGAAGTTCCGTCCTCCTGAAATTTAAGCTTCCAAATAACGCTTATATATCATTAAGTATTTAAGGGAGATTTTCACAGAAGGAGACAGGAAGAACAGAAGGAGAAGGGGAAAAATATCTGATTTTAATAGTATGGTTTAATTAGATACTTGGCTGAAAAGTGAACCACAGCCTTGCTGTCACTTCCAGAGGCTTCTATTTCTGTGGAATTATGTGAACCAAGGACTATATTGATGTCAATATGCATTTAAACTACATCTGAAGAATAACAGGTGCTTCATTAAAGAGGTCAAATAGCATGTAAAATACTTCTGGTCACTCCATACTTCCTTAGGGAAGCACAAGGAGGTGCTGTCTCATTACTACCTGGCACCAGCTCCTCAACAACCACTCACTACAAGCCACAAGCAGAACAGTGACTTTCTGCTGAGAATTCCATCTTCCAGAGATCCTTTCCTACATTTTGGGAAGCACTATACCCTCCCAGCTGTAAGCCAGTTCCTTTTTGGACTGTCCCAACAAAAACATCTTGTGTGTGCTTCAGATTTTGGAATTATAACTAATAAACTTACCAGCTGCATCACCTTGAATGAGAAGTTTAAACAAAGGTGCAAAGTCCTTTCACTTACCAAATCTGAGGGATTTAAATGTTCTTGCTGAAGTTAACACATCACCAAAATGCACATCTTACTTGAAGCAAAACCTACCTTTCTGTGTCTGCTTTCTGCAGCAGCCAGTTGGGACAACATTCTTTCCTGCATGTTCTTGCAATGTTTCATCACCACTTTCAAAATAGATAAAGGATTGGAGCATACTGGTTGTTTTTCACCGTGATTCCCCTCTTTCAGGGTCTCAAAATCCCTCTGCAAAGCCATCAGTGGGTCGCTGATGTTGTACTTGCCATAGCGTTCCTCGATGAACGTGTCTCTGTGCTGGGCCTGCAACACAAAAACAAACTTGCATTTTAATATCCTTGAAGCAAACAAACAAAAAAAAAGGAGCTAAAGAAGGAAGCATTTTGTAGTTAATATTCCTCTCTCTCTGTTTTCCACTTAGAGATAAAGAGAACTCCACACAGTCTGATTCACATCCTGTTATCTGCTATAAGAACAGGAGCATTCAGACAGGAAAAAACACAAGTGTCATGGTAAAGGTTAACAGGCAGGAGAGTAATTCATAAAACAAAGGGGTCTACCTGAAAGGCAGCACAGCCCATGCCACTGAAAAAAAAAAAGTCCACCTGGACCTTCTGATCACACCAATAACAAAGGGACAAACACTCTGATCAAATTAATACCATGAGAAGGTAAGTGTAGGGTGAGGACAATAATCCTTCTACCATCAGAAGGGGTTTTCAAGCTGTTAAGTTTAAGGTTTCAGCTGGGCCCCAAGCTGATAAAAATGCTCATTAATACATTTAAAATGGGCAATATACCTCGAGTGCTGTGTCCAGCTCTGGCTCATCACTGCAAGAAAGACATTGAGGGGCTGGAGCGTGTCCAGGGAAAGGGATGGAGCTGGGAAGGGGCTGGAAAAGGGGCTGGAGCACCAGGAGCAGCTGAGGGAGCTGGGGGGGCTCAGCCTGGAGAAAAGGAGGCTCAGGGGGGACCTTCTCTCTCTCTGTGACTCCCTGACAGGAGGGGGGAGCCGGGGGGGTCGGGCTCTGCTCCCAGGGAACAAGGGACAAGAGGAGAGGGAACGGCCTCCAGCTGTGCCAGGGGAGGGTCAGGTTGGACATCAGGAGGAATTTCCTCCTGGAAAGGGTGGTCAGGCCTTGGCAGGGGCTGCCCAGGGAGGTGGTGGAGTCCCCATCCCTGGAAGTGTTCCAAAAACGACTGGACATGGCCCTCAGTGCTCTGGGCTGGGGGACAGGGTGGTGTTGGGTCATCAGCTGGACTCGATGATCTTGGAAGTCTTTTCCAATCTTCATGATTTTATGAAAAGCTGGTGGTCTCCCACTAACAAAGACAAGAAAATCTACAATATGGAAGTAAAGCCAGCTCTGGCCTGGATCAGATGCACAGCTGGGCACCTCCCCACTTTTCAACGCCTCTCAAGGTGAGACACCTGGAGTGGATTTTGTAAATGTTCTCCTTCCCACAGCTGGAACAGAAGCAAACCCACACGATTCAGCCTGAAACAAGCCCTGAGGAGGTTAGAAAAAGCATGTCTTGATTAACTTCTCACTGTCCCTGTTGAACAGTGATTTTTAACCAAGTGGCCCCAGAAAAACAAGAAATAAAGGAAAATCTTGCTTAAAAACAGCATCTCCACAATACATTCAGTCTCCAAACATCCTCATACCACAGCTACCTGCCATGGCCATGACTTACATTCCACAACTGTGTGAAAGCAAAGAAGGTAAGAACCAACTCCTGCTCAATAAAAGATTTAATCATTTACTGTCCCATCAGTGAAAGAAGCAGTTTGTGTGGTTTCCCTGACTGTGTCACCATCAAAGAATTTCGTGTTGAGCAATTAAAGAGTTTCACTCTTGCCAGAGCCTATAAATCCATGAATTGTTAATAAAATCCTTAATGTTCTCATCCAGACTAAACAGAGTTTAGTTTCTCAAGAAGCAAGACAGGACTGATGAGGTTCCTTTGGTGACATGTAAGAATTGAGACAACTCACATGTACCAGGCTCCACATTTACAGTGTTTAATGGTTGGACTCGATGAGCTCAGACGTCTTTTCCAACCCAAATGATTATGAATCAGCCATTCCATCTGGAAATCTGTTTGTTAGGATACCAATAGGCTTATCCTACTGAATGATTATGGTGAAGTTCTGAAAACTAAACAAAACTTCATAAACACCCAGATATTAAAGTATTATCTGCATGTTTACCACCATGATAAGAAACCATGTGAAAACAGATATTTATGCAACAAAAGACACAGGAGGGAAAACAGTTCTAGATACAAAAGAGCCCTCAGAGCTGTCCTGGCTGGGAGAAACATAATCATTGCTTTCTACTGAAGTGGTTCTGGGCTTTGTGAAAACCTGTGACTCTTTCATTGTGGGATTCTGAGCATTTGTGAAAACCTGGGACTGTTTCATTCCCACGGGTACCACTGAACAGCACAACCCCGTGCCCAGCAGAGCTGCTGCACCTGCCAGGGAATAACACCTTCCAAACCCCAGGTTTAACTTGGATTCCTCTGGATCCATATTGTCTCCTAAGGACTGGTTACCATGACAATTCACACCTTTCCTTTTGCCATATAAATGGCTCTGTTCTGTTCTGCACTGGCACGTTTTTTAGTGAGGCCACACATGTGGGTTTTCCTCTGCTCGAGTCCCCTGCAGCACTGCAAGGCAGGAGTGAGTTCTGGTGCCTTTAACCACAGTGTGTTTAATTTAGAACAAACTTTAGCACGTTCAACCAGCCAAGCACTGTGTGACCCACAGGAGGCTCCTGATCCAAGCTGCACTTTTCCTGCCAGGGCACACAAATGACATGTTTTTGCCTCCAAACAAACACTGCCTGTACTTTTTATCAGATGTGCTTCACCTTTCTGCTCCCAGCAGAGCACAAACAGCAACTAAACCATCCCAAATCGAGCACAGCAGCTTTCCAGAGCTGGTGGAGGGCTCCAAGCAGCAGCCCCACACAGCCCTAACTCTGCTGATGGTGTGAATGGCACAGAGCTGGCACAGGGTGGAAAACAAAGCTCCCAGCTCTGAATGCAGGGCCAGCCCGTGCCAGCCTCGCTGGGCACCTCCCCAGAAACCCCTTCAGAGAACAGGACTGGCAAACTGTCCCCCACTTCTCATGGGACTGCACAAGGGCATCTTTCAGATAGCAAGGACTGAGCCTGGCTCAAATGAAAAGGCAGCTCAGAAGCCAGGACTTCTTGGAATGGCTGTTTCCTGATGTCCCAGTATCAAAAATGCAAATATTTCACTTGAGCACACAAGGGCTGTAGTCACAGAGCCATGGAATATCCAGAGTTGGAAAAGACCCACTAGGATCATTGAGCCCAGCTCTTGGACCTGCACTCTAAGGTGCAACCACGTGAGTGGCATGAAAAAAATTAATCAAGTCAACTTCTGCTCTCCAAGGGAGAAGTGTTTGCATTGCCTTGACAAAAGGCAGAAAAAACGAAACCAAAATACTTTTATATTTGCATATCTTCTCCATAACCAAACCCAATTAGGGACATTCATCCTGTTTGGAGCTGGGTTTTAACCCCTGCAGTAAACAACCACAGAGGAACAGCTCACATTCACAGAAACCCCTCCCTCTCTATCAGCAATACCCATCAGGAACTGTGGATACCTTTGATCAGAGCTCCAGATATTGTTCTAACTTTACACAATGAAAAAAAAAAGGAGAGGAAGGAAAAGATCAGCCCTGGAAATGGGAGGGCAATCCTGCATAATGGGGCAGCCCTGGTTTAATGAATCACAGGAAAAACTACAGGCTGGTTTTTTTTAGGTTTGTTTGGCTTTTTTTTCCAGGAACAGGGAATCTTCAGTTTTTCTGAAGAATTTATAAAAATGACTCAGTGAAACCTCAGTATAAGTGTGGAGGGAATTTCTACGTGACTCAAGCTTTAAAAAGCCTGTAAATATAAATTGGGATATCCATCCAGCTGCCCTAATTGCCTTGACAGATGAGCTTAATCCCAACTCATCCCAGTGCTGGTCATTCCACAACCACACAGGAACATGGGAGAGACCCTTCCAAAGGGCACCAGTGTTTCAACAGTGTAAACAAACCTTGCCTTTACTGGGCAAGTTCTTCCTAATAAAATCTCAAAGAACTGGGATTAAGGTGTGTCCCCCTCCATTTTTTGCAACACTGGAGGTGTAACCAAAGCCCTGTTTTCCTCTGCTCCTCACAGCACTGATCCCTGCTGAATTTAGTGGGATGGTTTATTTCCTGTCTGGGAAAGAACAAGTAGTTCTTCCTTGCTACTCTGAGCAATTAAGTGTTTTCCTGCACTGGCATGACAAACAGATGAGACTATCGTAACATTAAGAGCTTTCTCAAGTCCAGCTATTCTTCTTTAATAGCCAGCAGAGCATAAACACTTAATTAAAGTTGTCTAGACTAGGAAAAGTCTTAACCAGGTCATCCTACACCGACCACATCTCGTTTGCAAAAACAAACCCAGCGCTTTGGCATTTGGGCCACCGTGCACTTGGGAATGCAAACAGGGATTTTTTTGCAGAGCAGTCACCAAAAATCATCGAGGCAGCTCTTTGAAAATGAAGTCACAGTGCCATAATACGCAGAGGTTGTTTGATACAGGTGTGGAAGTGTCACAGAGTGACTCGTGCTCCTCACTGAGACAACTCTGCAGCTCAACTTCTCCATCACTGGAGGACTCATGTACAAACATCTCCAATAATTGGGATTTTGTCCTGTCTGAACTGAAGTTCAGTCTTAAATACAGTTGTTCAACCATCAAAACAGAAGGAACTTCATGATGGAAGAGAAATATTCTGTTAGTGAGCCCAAAAAACTTAGATCTCAGATCCCACTATCAGCCTACTGAAACACAGAGATCCACAGGAAGACAGGCTTTGATAATAAGGAAATAAGGTTACAAAATGCATTGTTAACTCAGGGGTGGAAAATTTCATCTGGATCAGAGATGACATATATACTCCCAACAGCAGCAACTGTGCTTTGAAAGATGAACTCCTCTGCAACTGGATGATCTCCTATTTTAGCACCTCCACCTGTAGCATCTCAAATATGCAGCTGGGAATTTCCTATCAAAACACTCCAACTCCTGAAGCAATTAAATGGATTACTCAGCAGTTTTGAAGACTAATAAACTGCCCTCTCCCAACAGGAAAAGAAGATAACATTTGAGCTTGGGCTGCTTTTAAAAAAGGAAGCAGCCAAGCACATCAAGTGCTCTTAAAAATAAAACTGCAGATGATTGGAAGAATTAGGCAACAGCAGAGAGGGTTCCAT